GCCGCACGCGTCAGCAGCACCTGCCCGCCGTTCCCCACGCCCTCCGTGCGCGACCGCCATGTTCGCCGTTTCGCCGTAGTAGTCGTACCCCTTCGTCACCTCGTCGCGCCGGATGTCGCACAGCCCGGTGTGCACCCCGACACGCACCCGCAGGCCGTTCCAGTAATGCCGGTACACCGCGGCGTCCAGGCGCGCCGTCGGCGGCACGTACCCCTCCGCGTCCTCCTCCGCCCGGCCCTCCTCGAACTTGCGGTACGCCTCGTCGAGCGCGCCCGTCCCCCAGTCGTGCTGCACGAACACCTGCTGCAGCTCCCGCACCAGCTGCACCGCCGCGAACACGCTCTTGCACGCAATCACGAACGAGTCGCCGACCGTCTTCACCTCGTAGCAGTGGTACTTCGCAATCAGCGCGCGGATCAGGCGGTGGTGCGCCGCCACGGCGTCGGGCATCAACTGCGAGCACGCAGCCCACAGCGCCGTGCTGCTCTCGATGTCGGTGAACACGAGCGTCACGGGGTCCGTCGGCTCCTTCGGCGCATTCGCGTTGTCGCGCGAGTCGCGGCAGAAGCGCAGCAGCAGAGCCGCCACGGCCACAAGCAGCAGACCGCCAACGACGCTGCCGACGATGATGCCGATCAGCTCCGGCTCCGTCAGTCCGCGCGCAACGGGCTCCGCGTAGCGCATAGTCGGGGTCACGGCGGGGAACAGCACGGGCACGGCGGGGTCCAGCGCGTGGGCAAGCGACCACACAGAAATGCGCGTCGCCCCGTAGTTCTTGCCACACCCAGCACCGCCGGACGCAGCCGCAGCACACGCCGTGCCGTTAACGAAGGGGCCGTACAGCATGTCATTCGCGGTGACGGCAACGTTCTTGTAGAAGAAGTCAGCCAACCGCGCAGCGCTCACCTTGTCCATGCGGGAGAGAACCGTCCGCAGCAGCTGCGTGGTAGCGAAGCCCATCAGCGCCAGCGGCGTCCGTTGCGTGGCTTTGGGCAGGGCGGCGAGGAACTCCCGGGCGGTCGCCGACGTCGAGTTCGCGTCGTCCCAGTGCGGCAGTCTCGTCGCAAACACAACGCGGTCGGCGCCACCTGCACCGCCACCGAACGCGGCAACGAAGTCGGCGTGCAGCAGCGCAAACTCGGAGAACGCGACAAACACGCGCACGCCGTCGTGCGACGCCACGTGCCGCGCCACCGCAGCGATGTCGCCGGCCGCAAGGCCCGCCACGAACACGTCGCCCGCCTCCGGCAGGTGCCCCGCCAGCGCGTCGCCGCCGGCCAGCAGCGTCGCGGACCGCAGCGACCCGCCAAACGTCACCAGCGACCGCCGCAGCACCTCCGCCACCGCCGCCGCCTCCTCGCCGCGGATCACCGCGTGCGCCGCGCGGAAACCCGCGTCTCGGAGGTACTCCGCCAGCACGAAGAACTGCTGCTCCAGCGTCGGCGACACGTGGATCACGTGCCGGCGGAACCTGTTCAGCCGCGGCTCGAGCTGCAGCGGGTCGATGAAGGCCACACCCTCCACGCCCAGCACCGCCTCCGTCACAACACCCACAACCCCATGAACGTGCCGTGAT